GGAACTCAACACGACTCTTGTGCACTCTGGAAATTGACTCCACTTGCTCCATCATTATTTCAAACAAATATATTGAAATGTAACAAACGTGATGAATGATAGATCGATGCATATTATTCAGAGTTGTGAATAATATGGATGGATCTTGTTCAGGCTTGATCTTGAGGCTGGTTCACTTTTTGAGTGTATAATATCTGGCAGCTGTGTGGCTTCTCTACTAACTTGGTTATCTCAGTCACTGTTGTCATAAGACCTTGACACCGGTCATTCCCAGCTTCTGCTGTGACAGTGCCCACAGTGTAAGGTGATGTAGTGACTGTGGGTAGTGTTGTGAGGACTTTGTAACGGGTTGTGGGGCCTGGGGCACTGTCGAAGGTGTTGTGGGGCCTGGAAGGTATTCAGGCAGGGGGTTACGGGAAATGTGGGGACTGGTGGAGGTGTTGTGGGGACTGCTGCCCCCTCCCACTTCTAGAGTCACCGTGGGTGTCGCCACCGCCTTTTCCCCCCATCTCCTACACCCATAATTCCGGTGTGAACGAGGCTCACCCGATACCCGACCTCTAGAGCCGTCGGCGGTGACGTCCCTTGCATCCCACACCGACCCATCTCGCCCTGCATGTTAGGCCCACACTTGTTCCCACACCTATGGCAGCGTCACCTGTATTGCTAGCGCTTGTACATCAGGGTGCTGACCTCCGCACCTCTAGGAGCGACGGGGTCATCAGGGGGTCACAATACCGCCCACCTCCAGGCCTCACTGACGCCCTTTGGCCCCTTACCTCAGGTAATACACCCTCCCCCCCTCCCCCCGGCCCCCACGACCTGCACCCTGCAAGTCAACGCTCGCTGTGGGTAGCGTAGAGTCCAATGTAAACTCCAGTGTAAACTCCAGCACCCACTTGTTTGTTGTGTACGCTTGGCCGGGTCTGTTTCTGCCCCGGGTATTTACTGTTTGTGTCTGCAGAATCGAGCTATTAGCTCTTGGACCCCGCCTTTCTAGCTAATCTATTTTTCTTCTATTTTATCTAATACATATATTTCTCTCTAAAACACACACACACACACACACACACACACACACACACACACACACACACACACACACACACACACACACCACACACATTGCCGATGATGCAAAAATTATGAGGAGGATTAAGACGAAGGAAGATAGCATGATGCTACAAGATGGACCATTCAGTCTGTTTAGGTCAACAAATGGCTATTAAAGTTCAACCCGAGTAAATGTAAGGTAATGAAACTAGGCAGTGGAAACAGTAGGCCAGACACACGATATAGAATGGGAGATGAAGTCCTTCATGAAACGGACAAAGATAAAGATCTAGGAGTTGATATCTCCTGAAGCCCACATCTAAAGAATAACATCGGCGGCGTATGCGAGGCTGGCTATCATCAGAACTGCCTTCAGAAACCTGTGTAAGGAATCTTTCGGAACCTTGTATACCACGTATGTAAGACCAATCCTGGATCATGGAGTCCGTACCTTGTCAAGCACAAGACGAAGGTGGAAAAAGTTCAGAGGGATGCCACTAGGCCTGTTCCCAGAGCTAAGAGGCATGAGTTACGAGGAAAGGCTGAGGGAACTGCACCTCACGTCGCTGGAAGATATAAGAGCTCGGGAGACATGATCACAACATACAAAATTCTCAGGGAAATTGACACGGTAGACAAGGATGGATTTTTTTTTTTTAACATGAGTGGTACACGCACAAGGGGACACAGGTGGGAGCTGAGTACCCAAATGAGCCACAGAGACATTAGAAAGAACTTTTTCAGTGTCAAAGTAGTTAGTAAATGAAATGCATTAGGCAGTGATGTGGTGGAGGCTGACTCCATACACAGTTTTAAATGTAGATATGATAGAGCCCAGTAGGCTCAGGAATCTGTTCACCAGATGATTGATAGTTGAGAGGCGGAACCAAAGAGCCAACGCTCAACCCCCGTAAGTACAACTAGATGACTACACACGTACGTATTTTTATTTCTCTCGACGTTTCGTCCATATCATATGTAAGTGTGTCGTATACGAAGACTTCACTTAGTACAAATCAGTTCAAACATCATGTACTTCCCACTTAGAGGGAGGAGAGGCACTTGGTGACCAAGACCTGCTCCCCGGGGTAGTGGTACCGTCTGTGGCTCAAAGGTTTAATACCTCTTAGCACAGATACCATCTGAGACCTTCATATGTCACTTAATGAACTGTAAGTGGTTGGAGGAGGATGGTAAGTTGTGGTGTAGGGGAGGCCAGAGTACAGTGCTTATGGTGGTTGAGCTTGAGCTCTTCCACCCCACCTCTCAATCCTTCAATTAACTGATATACGGATTCCTGAACCTATTTGTCTGACATATTTATTTCAGCCCCTCATCAAAGCAAAGGGCCTTCGAGCTCACAATATATGTACTTCTATATCAGTACTTAAGTTATAAGGCAGCACTTGACTCGGGCCATATGATCTGTGCTTCAAGCTGCACCACCCAACGTGCAGTGTTCACTCTCAGTAAGGATAAGGGTAAGCTGTGTAAGGCAGCGTAACTAAAACACCTTCCACTGCGTCTTAAGGGCTACTCATGCCCATGCCACCTCCTGGGTGACTTAATCTTCATCAATCAATCACCCTTCCCAAACCTTACATGGGGGTAGAAATACCCTAAGCTACTCTATCCCTTTGAGATGATTTTCTTTCTTGTCTCAATAAACATACTTGAACTTGAACCTAGCCTTACATAGCCCTAAGTGTGCATGTTTCACACTATATAATAATACTAGTTTGTATTTTGAAAAACTATTGTAATATTATCCCGCGTGAAGGGTTCTGGGGAAAGTAAGATATGACTATAAATGAAGTTGTGGCAGGTGCTCATGGCATATACCAAATATTGGAATAAATAACACTGGAGACACAGCTGGCCACAGGGAATGAGAGAGACAGTAACAAGACTCAAGAGGCGCCACGAACACCGCTGGACCAGAGCATGTGACGTCTGACCTGCTGTTACATGCCTGCTGTCACGTCCTCACTCGTCTGGGGGACCCGTCCACTCGTCTGGGGGACCCGTCCACTCGTCTGGGGGACCCGTCCACTCGTCTGGGGGACCCGTCCACTCGTCTGGGGGACCCGTCCACTTATTTCTTAGAGCATTTAACTTAGGCCTACCCCAAGCAGCCTATGTCCGTCCAAAACCCTAGACCATTCCCCCTACAAATTTGGGTGAGGCTGGCCCAAAGCGTCTTAGACAAAGACAAATGCAGACAGACATTCTTTCGTAACACACACACACACACACACACACACACACACACACACACACACACACACACACACACACACACACACACACACACACACACACACACACACACACACATGCTTGGTGAGGATAAAGTGTAGCGTGAGGCCATGGTAGTAATACACAGGGAGTGTGGTGGGTGTATGGTAGAGGCGCGGCCATCTTCCAGCGGTGTGGTGCCTTCCTGTTGTAAGGTGTCGCCCAAGACGGCAAGTGGACGACATCCGCCGCAAGGAAGTAAGAGTGACTTAGAGTCTGCCACGAAATAATGTTACATTATTTGACACTTGGCCTGGACGGTAGAGCGACGGTCTCGCTTCATGCAGGTCGGCGTTCAATCCCCGACCATCCAAGTGGTTCGGCACCATTCTCTCCCTCCCTCCCTTCCCCCCATCCCAAATCCTTATCCTGACCCCTTCCAAGTGCTATATAGTCGTAATGGCTTGGCGCTTTCCCCCTGATAGTTCCCTTGTAACCGTGATCACTCGTAAAGGCGCTAAGGTTATGATCTTGCGTCTTGCAAGGGGCACCAGAGGCAGCCTCAGCTACTGCCTACAAACAGTGAGAAAATACAACTGTGAAGCTTTTGTTAAGGGTGAACCTTGAAGGTGTGAACACGGCTAACACCGCCTGAACAATGAGCACCAAACTTAGCTTTGTGTTCCTCTTGTGCACCCAGACCAAAGATCCATCACTAGCAACAGGAGCAGACTCGGGCCCCCCGGGCGAGGGCCAGGGACCTCCTCCCCATCCCTGGGGGAGACTTTCACGACCTTGGCCAGCCTCACGGAAACTGTTATTCACGGTCGTATCTCTGAATGTTTGTGAAAAATGTCTGAAAGGGGCCTTTGTTTTATTGCATTACATTCAATGTCGGTATTTATAATAACACTAAGATTTATTATTAATACTTATGCTATTATTGTTATATTTAATCCTTGTGTGCGTGTGTTTTTCCTTACAAGTTTGAAGCTTAGAAAAGTAAAGTACTATTTTCTCAGCTGTAATTATGAGGGAGGGGCGGAGGTGTTCCTGAGTGTTGACAAGATTAGTTGTTGAGGATGTTGGAGGGAAGGGCAGTCCGTCCAGGACCAGGCTCACCTCTGGTAGTGTTGCAGGGAGCAGCTGCATGGTACCACAGCCCAGACGGTACCACAACCCAGACGGTACCACAACAATTTAAATGTGTGTGTTTCTTTTAATTCAGCAACATCCTATAAAGGTTTTGGCAACATTTCCTGTGATGCTGATAATATTAGCATAATTATATTAGTTGATATGAATGGAAGACTCCAGTACGATGTGGTGGTGTGCCTGGGTGTGTTGTGTCACTCATGTTGTGTAGTAACACTGTCTTGTCTTACTCATGTTGTGTAGTAACACTGTGTTGTCTTACTCATGTTGTGTAGTAACACTGTGTTGTCTTACTCATGTTGTGTAGTAACACTGTGTTGTCTTACTCATGTTGTGTAGTAACACTGTCTTGTCTTACTCATGTTGTGTAGTAACACTGTCTTGTCTTACTCATGTTGTGTAGTAACACTGTCTTGTCTTACTCATGTTGTGTAGTAACACTGTGTTGTCTTACTCATGTTGTGTAGTAACACTGTGTTGTCTTACTCATGTTGTGTAGTAACACTGTCTTGTCTTACTCATGTTGTGTAGTAACACTGTATTGTCTCCCTCAGGCTGTCCTCGCCGCCACAGACGCCCAGCTCATCCAGCGACCGAGTGAGTACACAACTCATCTGTGCTACAGTCGACACCACAACACACACCTCATGGCTTCCACACCACAGTTTCATCATTTCTTTGACAGAACATAGTTTCATAAACTAAAATATACTCAAATATGTAGAGAGACAGACGGGGGTGACGGGTAGAGCACAGAAATGGGTGGGAGAGTACCAAACAGACGCGAGGCAGAGAGTTACGGTGAGAGGCGAGAAGTCGGATTAGAAACATGAATTTTATAATCATGTAGTGAGGCTCGTCATGGAATTCAACCCGTCCTTCAAGAATGATAGTACTTACAGCAACCGCTGATAAATCGTCCAAAAACGGACTCTTGTGCCCAAAAATGTCACGTTTTGTATTGGTGACAATGGGCATGGCGATACCTGGAAGAGTAACTATACAACCTGACCTCTCCCAATACACACCACCTTAGACCTAATATACACTATATATGTGGTTTACCAGGCACTCCATCTCCATGCTGTGGGTGGTATTGGTAAAGGTTACATGCACATGATGGGGCTCGGGAATTGAACCTCAAAATCCATTTAGCTAAGCAAGTTAGTCTTGATAACTTGCTAGTTACACGGTTTGGTGTATATAACAACAGTCTTTAATAACAAAATGTGGTCCAGGAAGTGAACCACAGAAGTCTCTAAGGTAAGGAATTCCCGTTTGTGGTGGTGAGTTAGTAATATATTGTTCTATACAACCCTCACCCATCCAGTTGGCGGGGGTGGAATGTTTACCATCACATACTCTGGATATTTGGCAAAGTTTATTGGAAATGCATCATCTTTAATTAAATTCTTACACATTTCTTGAACACGTAATGGGAGGAATATCTCTGCATGTCTAAATTCTACGATCGTTTCACAGTGAGTGACATAAGGTAAGTGAATAGTTCAGGTTACACAGTTTACATTTAGTCAGATCTACTTCAGCAGGTGGTGTACATTCTGAGAGGTGCTTGTAGCCGAGCCGAAGCCTAGCAGTAGTAGTGTCTAGAAGTCTGCTGACATTGTTGGGATGTGTGGCTCTTCTTGGCAATACTGTGATAGAATTACTAATATGAATTGTGTTTTGTCCAATATTGATTATTTCGTTATATCTGTGTCTTGCTTCGGACACGAGCATGATCAAACTGTCTTGGAGTTGAGTGCAATCAAGGATGACACTATGTTATTTGCCAAGAGTACAAATTATATAGCGTGATATGTTGGAAAGCACTGTTATTATACCATCTACCCTGTTATTATTAATACTGTCTGAACACAGTGGCAAGGCGAGTCGTTGTGAAGTGTCGCTTCACTCTACAATATTTACTATATTAAACCAGAGACATTGACGTTATGGGATTTGTCTGAGTGTGTTAGGAGCGCAGGGCAGCCTAGGGCAGGCGGGTGGAACTGTGTGTGTGTGTGTGTGTGTGTGTGTGTGTGTGTGTGTGTGTGTGTGTGTGTGTGTGTGTGTGTGTGTGTGTGTGTGTGTGTGGTCCTCTCAGAGTGTTCCTGGGCCGCCTTTGTCTGCTGGCTCTTCCTCCTCACGTCCAGGTCTCTTCAGTCAACTCCACGCTTCTTTCGGCCTTCTTTCTTCCCAGTAATGATGTCGATGGTCTTGTGTGTGTGACCCGCTCACTGGTTAGTTGTGGTTGTTTGATTGTTTGTTGTTCAGACGCCCCACTTAATCGCTGGTGATGACTCACTGGGTGAGGTTCAACACTTGTACTCTCCTAGTTGTGCTTGCGGGGGTTGAGCTCTGGCTCTTTGGTCCCGCCTCTCAACCGTCAATCAACTGGTGTACAGATTCCTGAGCCTACTGGGCTCTATCATATCTACATTTGAAACTGTGTATGGAGTCAGCCTCCACCACATCACTGCCTAGTGCATTCCACCTGTTAACTATGGCACTGAAAAAGTTCTTTCTAATATCCCTGTGGTTCATTTGGGTACTCGGTTTTCACCTGTGTCCCCTTGTTCGCGTACCACCAGTGTGAAACAGTTTATCCTTGTCTACCCTGTCAATTCCCCTGAGGATTTTGTAAGTAGTGATCATGTCTCCCATTACTCTTCTGTCTTCCAGTGTCGTGAGGTGCATTTCGCGCAGCCTTTCCTCGACATTACTTGTGGTGCTGACACCTGGGGAGTTAAGACATGCCTAGGGGCCAGGCTGGGCCACCACTGGAGAGTGTGGACGCCACGTGCCTAGGGCCAGGCTGGGCCACCACTGGAGAGTGTGGACGCCACGTGCCTAGGGCCAGGCTGGGCCACCACTGGAGAGTGTGGACGCCACGTGCCTAGGGCCAGGCTGGGCCACCACTGGAGAGTGTGGACGCCACGTGCCTAGGGCCAGGCTGGGCCACCACTGGAGAGTGTGGACGCCACGTGCCTAGGGCCAGGCTGGGCCACCACTGGAGAGTGTGGACGCCACGTGCCTAGGGCCAGGCTGGGCCACCACTGGAGAGTGTGGACGCCACGTGCCTAGGGCCAGGCTGGGCCACCACTGGAGAGTGTGGACGCCACGTGCCTAGGGCCAGGCTGGGCCACCACTGGAGAGTGTGGACGCCACGTGCCTAGGGCCAGGCTGAGCCACCACTGGAGAGTGTGGACGCCACGTGCCTAGGGCCAGGCTGGGCCACCACTGGAGAGTGTGGACACCACGTGCCTAGGGCCAGGCTGGGCCACCACTGGAGAGTGTGGACACCACGTGCCTAGGGCCAGGCTGGGCCACCACTGGAGAGTGTGGACACCACGTGCCTAGGGCCAGGTTGGGCCACCACTGGAGAGTGTGGACGCTACGTGCCTAGGGCCAGGCTGGGCCACCACTGGAGAGTGTGGACACCACGTGCCTAGGGCCAGGCTGGGCCACCACTGGAGAGTGTGGACGCTACGTGCCTAGGGCCAGGCTGGGCCACCACTGGAGAGTGTGGACACCACGTGCCTAGGGCCAGGCTGGGCCACCACTGGAGAGTGTGGACGCTACGTGCCTAGGGCCAGGCTGGGACACCACTGGAGAGTGTGGACGCCACGTGCCTAGGGCCAGGCTGGGCCACCACTGGAGAGTGTGGACACCACGTGCCTAGGGCCAGGCTGGGCCACCACTGGAGAATGTGGACGCCACGTGCCTAGGGCCAGGCTGGGCCACCACTGGAGAGTGTGGACGCTACGTGCCTAGGGCCAGGCTGGGACACCACTGGAGAGTGTGGACGCCACGTGCCTAGGGCCAGGCTGGGCCACCACTGGAGAGTGTGGACACCACGTGCCTAGGGCCAGGCTGGGCCACCACTGGAGAGTGTGGACACCACGTGCCTAGGGCCAGGCTGGGCCACCACTGGAGAGTGTGGTAATCGTGTCAGGGTAACTCTACAAGGCCTCTCCTCCTCCCTCCAAGCAGAGAACCTCTTAAAACATGCAAACATGTTCTTCCCGACACTGCCTCACCCGTCGTCTTCAGCACACCCGGTGAGCCCGCGCGCGCGCGTGCGTACAAATGTACGCTTAGACGCGTATGTACTCACAAAAAGTACCTTCCAAGACAGGGAAAGTGCTTGTCGAATGAGAGAAAGTTCATTCTTATACCCTACCCACGTCACCCTACCACCCACCCTCTAACCTTCCCCCACCCGACCCCTACTGCCCCACCCTACCCATCCTCCACCACCCTACCCATCCTCCACCACCACCCACCTCACAACCACCCACCTCACAACCACCCCACCCCAACCACCCCACCACCTTCCACCTCATCACCTCCTACGCTGAAGGACTCTCGCTGGAGGCGTCTTTGTATGTGAAACAATAGAGAGTTTAGAGGTGTACGGAAGTGATCCGGGCCTTATTGCCTTCCAAGAGGAACAACTTTCCATGTTAGAGTCAAGTAAAGAGCCAGACAAACTAATTCGCATTCATCTTGAGGAAATCTTCAGAAGAATGCTTGCGGCGCATCTCAGACTTGCACTAAGCTAGGCTAGTCATGTGGTCTTGGCGGCTACGACACCGTACGAGGACAAGAGAGAGGCGACACCTATGAGGACCTGCAAGAACTAACAGTTTATCCACCACAAAATATAAACAAACTTTACAGCCTTCAGTTTCACTTAAATGTAATTTCTGTTGCCTTAGGGGATAAAGATGAAGATAAACAGGGGGAGGAAGGAGAAAGTGAGGGACGGAAGGAAAGCATCCAGCTGGAGGGAGAAAGTGAACGGATGGGAGGGAGGTAAGGAGTGTCAGGTGCCGGTCTGTCCTCCATGTTTGGCACCACTTCACACACGGTGATGTAAACTAAATAGTCTGTGGGGATTTTTATCGTGTAGTAGTGTTTGTTTTTAGTCGTGTGTGTGTGTGTACTCGCGTCGTTGTGCGTGCGGGGGGTTGAGCTTCGGTTCTTTGGTCCCGCCTTTCAACTGTCAATCTACTGGTGTACAGATTCCTGAGCTTCTCGGGTTCTATCATATCTACATTTGAAACTGTGTCTGGAGTCAGCCTCCACCACATCACTGCCTAGTGCATTCCATTTACTAACTATGACACTGAAAAAATTATTTCTAATGTCTCTGTGGCTCATTTGGGTACTCAGCTTCCACCTGTGTTCCCTTGTGCGTGTACCACCCGTGTTAAATAGTTCATTCTTGTCTACCCTGTTAATTTCCCCTGAGAATTTTGTATGTGGTCAACATGTCTCCCCGAGCGCTTTTGTCTTCCAGCGATGTGAGGTGCAGTTCACTTAGCCTTTTCTCATAATTCATGCCTCTTAGTTCTGGGACTAGCCTAGTGGCATACCTCTGAACTTTTTCCAACTTCGTCTTGTGCTTGCCAAGGTACGGGCTCCATGCTGGGGTGTGTGTGTGGGGGGGTGGGGGGGGGGAACACTCACTAGGTCAAGAGGAAGTGAGGAGCAGAAGATGAAGGTGCGCTATAGTTTATAACTACCACCTATTGTACTGGTATGGCCCGCCCTCCTGTGTACCGGTGTGGCCCGCCCTCCTGTGTACC